TCCTTTACGGCCTTCCTTTTCTTTGCAACCTTCATTTTTTTTACCCTTAAGTCCTCAAGGACACAGTGCAGTATTTGATTAATATTTCTAACAGCTTGACGCTAGTCACACATTTTCAGCTCTGTCACGCTTTGACCCCAGACCTTTTATTAAATGCTCTGTGGAGGGCTCACACCATTGGAGCATTTAACCTCCAAAACTTCAACTACACACACTTGGCAAAAGCAACAGAGGAAGAGATGGTGAGAGCAAAAAATGCATCTACTAGAATTCTATTTGACACATGCACTCTATTTTTTACTTGCTATTACTGTAAGTTATACATTTATGCATAAGTATTACTGGACGGGGTTGTGTATGCAAAGCCATGTGAAGTAAAAGATCTCCCAGGGTGATTCTGAAGCTACTCAATTTCCATCTCACATGCTACCTGTAGGTGCCGGTCTTTTCTCCCTCCTGTGTCTGTAGTCTTTACTCCAGGCCCACCACTCTCGTTGTCTCCATCTGGTTTCTATAGTTCTTTTTTTTTAAAAAGATGACCGGTAAGGGGATCTTAACCCTTGACTTGGTGTTGTCAGCACCACGCCCAGCCAGTGGGCGAACCGGCCATCCCTATATGGGATCCGAACCCGGGGCCTTGGTGTTATCAGCACCGCACTCTCCCGAGTGAGCCACGGGCCGGCCCAAGGTTTCTATAGTTCTACTAAGAAAACTGAAAGCCCTACCTCCTCTGCTGACCACAGCCTCCTATCCTTTCAGCAATCTCATGTGAACCTGGCTTCTTATCTCAAGAGGGACCACCAGGCCCTGATGCTTACATTTTTCTAAGACGACTAACCCCATCCAGTCCTTCTTCAGCCTCTGCCCAGCTGAGACTCAGTGGTTCATCCTCTGCACTCCCTTCTCCCCCCACTCTAGGATTTCTGGCACCAATTTCCCCTCCTCACCCACTCCCAACCTCTTGCTTCTCTCTCCCATTAAAATTCCATTATAGGGCTGGCCGGTTAGCTCAGTTTGTTAGAGCATGCTGCTAATAACACCAAGATCCAGGGTTCAATCTCTGCACTGGTCAGCTGCCAAAAGAAAATTCCGTTATAGAAACAGGATAGTGGTTAAGAGCAAAAGCTAAAAGATCAGACTTCCTGAATTTAAATCTTTCTTATCTGTGTGACCTTAGCCAAGTTAGTTAATCCTCTGTGCCTTAGTTAATTCCCCTACTAAACAGGCATAATAATAGTACCATACATGCCACAGGTAAGGTTGGAATCAGGCTGCTAAGAGGAAAATCAGATCCCAGTCCTAGAAGGTGCCCTTCTGTTTGATGAGAACTGTGAGTTTTTTTCAGACTTATAAACAATGCAGGATATTTTAATGAACAAAGAGCATGGTGTCTCTACACAGTTGCAACTAACACTTAGAGTGGATCCAACTTAGGCAAAAAGGTGAGAGTCTGTTGAACAAAAGGCAGAAGTCACCAATGCTGTGCATGTATTTGCCAGCTAGGGTCATCACACTGTTACAAGACACCAACTGGGCTTCTATTTTCAGTAACACTAAGTGGGAAAGCTCCAAGTAATGTTTAAAAAGAGGACTATACCTTATGAAAGCCCCACTCTAAGACTAGCTGAACTGCTTGGTTTTCAAAATTTGGAATTGTAGAGAGTTCTTAAATTTTTAAATGTTGCTGCATGGATGGTAGCTACAAGTTAGAATTCCTTAATCACCAGCATTCACAAAACTCTCCCTGGTTCTAGAGTGGCACAGTCTTAGGCATTCTCCAAAGACAGGTGTTTGAAACCTGTGTGGATCCATTGTCTGGGAATCGTCACTTTCCTAAGACCCTCCAAACTGAGCTTTCTTTTGACCTCTAACATCAAACAACCCCACACCTGGAACAGTGCAAGTCCCCTTCCTTGCTAGATTGGTCTCTGGATTCAAGATCCGGAAAATACACCTGCTAATCTCAGTCTGTGGCAGCCCAGTAGTCTCAGCTCAGTCATACAGGTGAGGAAAGAAACCCCCTTCTTCCACTGTCCCAAACACTCCTTGCATTCAGCTCCTGGGTTATGGTTTTGTTTCTCATTACTCTGAGTCCTGTACTTATTAGAAATTTGTTTGTATCTGTTTTCTCTGGCTCCTGATCCAGCTTTCTCTCCAAGGCTGGGGCTCATGCTACTGGCTTTCCTCGCCTCTGGCTACCTACATGGTTTATTCCATCTTAGCAAACTCTGTGCCAGGGCTGCCAGCTGGAGGCCCACTGGGGAAGCCAGGACTTGATTCTTGGTCCTCAGACTGCAAAACTCATGCTCCTTCAAATTCACCAGTGGGTCTAGTCCTCCATGGTCAGAGGACTTGGACAGTAACTGGCTTGTCTTCAGTTTTGTCCTCCTACCCAGATAGCAACACTGGCCAGTGTCCTCTGTGTTTGCCAGTTCCTTCAGGTTCACCCTCAGGCTATCAGCAGTCCAAGCTCTTTAAGTATTTAAAGAAGCCCCTGGCTATAATCTGTGCTTCTGTGTTGTTCTAACCATGCTATCTCTTAACCATGGCCTGGACCTACAACCCACCTTTCCACCCCAATAACCTTAACATTCATTAATGGTTTGTAAAAGACCAATCAATGGATAGTGCCATTGTGTACAGGGAAGACTCCATCCTCTCACTCAACATCTTCAGCTAGGTGAGAAGTAAGTTCTATGTAACTAAATACCTCTAGATCCAGAGCCTCATCTTCAGATGAGCCCACTTGGAACCCAAAGTCAGGTCAGTGATATTACTCCCTGACAAATTTATTCCTGGTAATACAGTGGAGAGGTGGATGCCCATAAGAATCTCTGGAGCAAATGTTAGGTAAACAAAAGTTGGTACCAAAGATCCACTTCAATTGAGCTAAGAGAGCATGATCCATGTAAATTAGATCAGAGTTTGACTAGCCTGTTAACATCAGGAGAGGGCTAAGCCCAGCATCATTGGAAAAGCAAGTGCTAGAACAGAAGCAAAGCACTGGGAGCCTGTCTGGGGTTGTCTCCAGTGAGGTGCTGAACTAATCAGGGCTGACCTGAGAGATGAGCTCCGATTTAGATGCAATAAATTGAAAAGTGGAGGTGAGGCAAGTACAGTGTGAGAAGAGAGGAGAAACTCCATAGGAAGGAGGGTATGGAAACAGCAATCAGGGGATATAGATTTTTCTTTGAAGAACGAAGGACAGCAGAGAGGCAGGAAAAAAATAAAAGCTCACATGAACTATGTTGAAACGTGATACCATGTTACGTGACAACCAACATTTGCACAGCACTGTACAATCTTTTAAAGTACCTTATCCACATTATCCTGTTGAAGTTCACAAAAAGTCTATGAAATTGAGTTAATAAATTTCTTTTTTTTTTTTTTTCCTTTTTGTCTTTTTTCGTGTCCGGCAACGGATCGCAACCCTCAGTGTCGCACCCGTACCGGACCGGGACCGGCAACGGGATCGGGACCGGCAACGGGATCGCAACCCTCGGTGCTGTGCCCGCACCTCGCTCAGCCAGTGAGCGGGAACCGGTCTGTATGTGGGATCCGAACCCTCGGCGGGAGCGCCGCCGCACTCCCAAGCGGCGCACCGTAGCAGTGCGCCACCGGGCCGGCCCAAGTTAATAAATTTCTTATCATTGTTTTAGGAAAGAAAAAAAAAAGACTCAAGGAGGTTAGATGATTGAAGCAAAAACTTGAATCTTTATTCTTCAGGCTCCAAACTCTATGCTCTTTCAACTATATCAGTAGGTCCCAAACAATATTCTGAAAGTAGCCAAAATAAGAATCTATTCTATGTGATTCCACCTACTTAAAGTTCAGGAGAAGGCAAAATAGATGCTATGGTGACAGAAACCAGGACAACAGTTGTCCTCAGGAGGTTGAGATTAAGCAGGAAGGGGCATGAGGGAACCTTCTGCTTTATGTCTTGATTAGAGTACAGGGTCCACCATGTACACATTTTCAAAACTGATTAGATTATATATTTAGGAGCTGCATGTTTTATTGTATGTACATTTCACCTCAACAAAGCAAAAAGCAGTATCCAAATTACAAAATGTATTAAACATATTCAAATTCTGAAATCTTAATTTCAAGTTTATGTCCATCCATCTATAAGTATTATAACACTAGCTTATTTTGTGTCTAGAACCACTTCATAGAAACTCTTAAGTCCTTTGTCACAGAAGCAGTCCTTTGTCATAGTCTTCTGTCCAATGACAGAGCCTAGCTTTAAAACATAAAACAGTTATTGTTCACATTTGAATTTTAACAACAGTGCAAATCAAACATGTTTAAAATACCTTAGTAAAGTAGGCCCAGTGAAGATCATTACCTGGTATGCTTTTAAGATGTCATAGTTACAGAGAAAAGAGCTGTGGTTACTAGAGGTGGAAAAGGGGAGGGGAGGGGCAGAGGGAAGGGGCTAATGAGGAATTGGTCAACAGACACAAAGAATGATTGAATGTTGTAAAGATGAATAAGCTAACTAACCTAATCTGACCATCACACATTGTACACAATTACTGAAAATCAACATTGTACCCCACATGTATGTATAATAAATTATCTTAAAAATAAAAAAATTTTAAAAGATGCGGTAAATATAGAAGTACTGTTTTCACTTGGCACAAGCTACTTTCATTCGTGATTTAAAAGGGGAGAAAAGTTGCTACTTTTAGCACAATCAGGTCCACATTCTTACAATTACCAGGGTCCAAATTTCTACACAGTAAAAGCTGGTTGGAGCTGAGCAGCAGCTCCGTGATGCTCCTGCTTCATCTTGTTGGCTATCGCCACAGTCCCCACCACTCCCTACTGTAACACCAAGACGCACTCACCTACTTGTGTTTCCTGTCTAGTCTGGATTTTTTGAGTTTTAGATTCAAACTGTGAATAAATTCAATACGTTAAAAGTTTCATAAACTAAATGAATAATATTAATAATTTTTCTTGAGTAAAACCAACCAGATTTAGACTATACTTACTCGCAGAGAAGGATTCCATTTTCTAACCCTGTCCGGAAATCTTTATCTCCAAAACTTCTCCCAGTTACTTGCTGGAACAGAAAAAAGAAAAAGAGAGCATAAATTTTTCTTTTTTAATCACAATGCTCAATTTTTTTTTAAATATTCAAAAGCCTTGAAATACTGGTGACATTCCAAGAATGGGAAAAATCTGTTAGATCTGAATTTCCTTCCCATGTGTAGTTTTGCCTAGAGCAGCTAAATTTATATTTAGACCATTTCTTTGAAGCTTTTTTCCTATACAATACCTTAAAGAATATCTGCTCTTCCTTATAAGAATTTTTCACTTTGGGGAATTGGTCATGATTAAGTCAAGGCCACAGTCTCTTTTATCCAGAGGATCCAACCCACACATGCTTTCAAAAAAGCCCATGGAAAGCACGACCTGAGGATAAAGTCCCTATGTACTAATACATTAAGGGAGTTGGGAAGGAGAGGACCCCTAACCTTGAGAGACTAACATCAAGACCAGAAAATTAAAGCCAATATCCATAAATAACATGGCATGAAAGAGAAAAAAATTAAAGCTGGAAAGGATAATTCTCTCATATCACAGGACTGATGGCCACTCTTGGTGTCTCTGGCTCTCAGCAGCCCTTTGGCCTAGGCACCAAGGAGTCATCCATTTATTTGTTCATTCAGTAAATATTTATAGAACACATATAATATGCCAGGTAGATATGTATACTATAAACCCTAAATCAACCTCTAAAATATCTAAATAAAAAGTTATAGCTCATAAGCCAAGAAAGAAGATAAAATGGAATCATAAATAATACTCTAACAATTAAAAAAAGGCCCAAAAAAAATGGAAAAGGGAGCAAAGAACAGATAAAATAAATACACAACAAATAGAAAGACTACAGACTTAAACCTGACCATATCAACAATTACATTAAATATAAATGGTCTAAACATCCCCAATTAAAAGGCAGATTGTCAGATTGGATAAAAAAGCATGACCCAACTATGTGCTGCTCACAAAAATGAACTTTAAATAAAAAGACACAAGTAGGGTAAGTAGAAGAATGGAATGAAATACATCATGTAACACTAATCTAAAGAAAGCTAGGGAGGTTATATTAATATCAGATGAAGAAATTTTAGAATAAAGAATAATAACAGGGATAGAGAAAGACATTTTATTATGATAAAGGGGCTAGCTGATCAGGAAGACATAACAATCCTAAACATTTATGCACCTAATAAAAAAGTTTCAAAATGCACAAGGCCAAACAGATAGAATTGCAAGGAAAAATAGACAAATCACAATTAAAGTCAGAGATTTAAACATCTCTCTTCAATAACTGATAGATCTCACAAAAGATCCCTGTGACCAAAGATATTTGTTTCAAACAGCTAACATGGACTTCTTTCTGCCTTTAAAAGTTTCCCTTTATTCCAACCGCCCCACATGTGCTTATGATTCATCATAAATGTGTATCCTGGATTATAATCCCCTGTTTATTCCCGAATATATTCATTTCTTTGGAGAAAAATACTACTAATAACTTACAGGACAAGTAGAGAGAAAATTAATAAGGATATAGATAACCTGAACAACACTATCAACCAAATTGACCTAACTAACATTTCTAGAATATTCCACCCTACAACAGCAGAATACACATTTTTTTCCTAAGTTCACAATCAATGTTTATCAAGACAGACAAAATTCTGAGTCAGAAAACAAGTCTCAGTGCACTTACAAGAATTCATACAAGGTATGTTATCTGACCACAATGAATTCTAAATTAACAGCAGAAATATCCCTTGAACATCATCAAATATTTTTAAATTAAGCAACATGATTCTAAATTACCCAATTACCCACTGATCAAAGAAGAAATTTTTTAAAAAGTAGAATGTATTTTGTAGTGAAAGAACCACAGCAATATCAAAATGTATGCAATACACACTAAAGCAGTACTTGGGGGAAACGTATAGCACAAAACTCCTATATTGGAAAATAAGATCTCAAATCAATGAATTCTGCCTCTACCATAGGCAAATTAAGTGTGAATCAATTAGAAGAAAGGGGGAAATAGAGCTGAAATCAATCAAAGAGAAAACTGAAAAACTGCAAAAAATAAATGAAACCAAGAACTGTTTCTTTGAGATCAATATAATTGATAAACCTTTAGCCAGATTAATAAACCCTTACCCAACAAAATTGGTAAAGCTTTGGGATTTATTTAATTTATTTATTTACTTATTTATTTATTGTAGTTTCCCTAGCTGATATCAAGATTTATTATAACATCTTGTTCTTGGCTCAAGAATACAAAATAAATCATTGAAAAATGTAGAGCTGAGAGTCCACAGCCATGCTTATTTGGGACCCTGTCTCACCACCTTTGTTATCATGTCCCCCATCTAAGCCATGCAACACCTCACTTAAATACTGCTGCAGTTTCATAGTGCCTCCCCTTCCATCCTTCCCCTCTTACCCTGTGTTCTCCACGCAGCAACAAGAACCATCCTTTTTCTTTTTTTTTTTTTTTTTTTTTTTTTTTTTTCCGTGTCCAGCAACAGATCGCAACCTTCAGTGTTGCCCCCGTACCGGACCAGGGACCGGCAACGGGATTGCAAGCCTCGGCGTTGCTCCCGCGCCTCGCTCAGCCAGCGAGCGGGAACCGTCTGTATGTGGGATCCGAACCCTCGGGCGGGGGCGCCGTCGCGCTTCCCAAGCAGCGCACTATCCAGTGCGCCACTGGGCCGGCCCAGAACCATCCTTTTTCTAAAACATTTTTAAATTTTTCATTGTACACGTATCGTCTACAACCAGCCTTTGGTTTTTAGCCAAAAGAAAGAAGACACAAATACTAATGTCAGGAATGACAAAGATGACAGTACAGATTTTACAGATATTAAAAGAATGGCAAAGAAATATCATAAATAAACTTGTGCCAATAAATTCACCAACTTAGATGAACTTGATAAATTCTTTGACACAAACAACCATAGTTCATTCAACAAAGAAATAGATAACTTTCGCATAAAGAAAACGGCAGGCCCAGAAGGCTTACCTGGTAAATTGTATCTGATATTTAAAGAAGAAATAATCCAGTTCTACGCAAACTCTTCCAGACAGTGAAAAGGAAAGAATACTTCCCAATTCGTACTATGAGCCAACATTACCCTGATACTAAAACCAGACGGACATCACAAGACACACACACACACAATATGTCATGGTGGGAATCAAGTATGATTTTTATTTTGCTTTTTAAATTTTTCCATATTTTCCTACATATTATTTTAGTCATCAGAAAAGCCAAATAAGATTTTTTTTTAAAGGGAGAGAGAACTGATATAAGAGCAATGTAAGGAAAACTAAATGGTCTGATTCTTCCTTATAAACCAAAGTTCAAGTTCTACTACAAAACATCCTTACTACCACTCCCACTAGAAATACAATTCACTAGCCAATATAATCACATGTCTCAAAAAGTTATTTTGTTGATATCTTCATTCCTATTTGAGGGAAGGTAACAAAAACTCATTGTTAGTAATTTGCAAATATCTAATTTTTTTCTCAAAATAAAGAAATTGTCACCTTTTTAAAAACTACTATTTTAAACACAGACTTTAAATATCTCAGCATTTTTTTTTAGTATCTGTCAATGATTTGTCTGTCATTGATCTGTGTTCTGTGAGAATGATTCATATTCTGAAAACATCACTAATATTCTCTATAGTACTAACCTCCATTTACCAAGAAGTGATCAGAAGGATTCGAAAACATTTTTTCCCAGGTCTTTACATTTTTATTAAAAGCATTACGTTCCTGTGAAAAAAGTACCAATATTGAGACCAAGATACCCAACAAACGCAAGATAGTCTGGGTACATTTATTACAGAATCTGTGGCTAAGTTTCTCCAGGCCTCTCTCCAGGTACAATGGAGCAGGTCCTAGAGATAGGACCACAGATGAGATGTGTCACTGTAAGCAGGAAGCTCACAGACTGATGAGGAAGGCAGACATCTAAACTCTTACCATAAACATGAGGTAACATAACTATTAAGAATATTAAAAATATTGGTGGCCCACATACTACCCAAAATGCCCATGTACCATTTAAAATTATCTTGCATGTGATGCGTAGCCACTAAAAAAATTTCAAGTAGAGGTTGATATAATAGTCTAAAGTGAGTCTGCCAGTCAAAGTCCTCTAAGATGTAGTGTGATCAAATTCAAGTTTTTAGACTCCCAACTCTAGAGATGGGAATAGGCATCTTGTATTTGGAGGAGGATGCTCATTTCCACCTCTATTCCTCCTCACCTGCCCTCTGTCCCCCATTCTTGTGCCCGTTAAGTCCCAGTATGGCCTTCACACTGCTCTCCACTAATTGAAATGCCACTCATTCTTCAGAGCTCACATTACTTAGCATAGAGGCACCAGAAGCCTTGTTAGGAGGATTACCAGATGAATAGACTCCAGAAATTCAACAGAGACTGAAAATTTGGTCCTTCGAGTAGGAGCAGCAGCATCTTCACCTGGAATTAATATTAGAAATACAGACTTACAGTCCACCCATCCCCCCAAGACATACTAAATCAGAACCAGCATTTTAAAAGACCCCCATGTGATTCATATGCCCAGTAAATTTCACAAAGCCCTGACCTAGGACACTAAACTAAAACAGCAGTTCAGAATCACAAAGGAAGGACTTTCCATTGGTGTCAGGATTTTGGATGACCTGTCTCAACAACCCCTCTCAGCAACATCTTTATGATGTGTTTATAATGTCATACATTGTATATTCTAACTATAAAGACTGCTAATTATTCTTCCCTTCATCAGAGCATAAGCCACTGCTGTAAAAAGCAAAATAGTCCCCCAGAATCAACCACCATTATCAACAGTCCATTTGCAGAGGAACTGAAAAGCATCTCCCCAGGCTTCCCTAACCATCCCACCTGGATCCCCACTGACTGAGGACTCAGTAACTTCTCAGACCAGGCACTATCCAAGCCATCAGCTCATCTTCATTCTCCAAAGACACAAGGGCAGGACGGAAAGCTCA